AACAATGTTTGGTGAACTTCTTTTACTGATTAATTTTTTCTAAACCAGAGCAGGACAATACTTTAAATTGTAGCCACTGAGTTTCACAGCTGATGTTGGGGACAGGTATGTGATACTTGGCAGCTTTGTTTTATATAGGTTCATGCAAACATTATATTTGGATTTTAATTCCCAAGCAATTTACCTTCTGCTCTGCTGCAATTCTAGATTTTCTTCAGAAAAAAAAATCTGAATCTCAGCTGAAACTTCTGAATTTTACCATTTTCCAGTCAATATATTAGCTCTAGTATGATTTTGATGCTAAACTAGACATTTATCAGAGATCATCTGAAATATTTGAGAAACTTAAATACCTTTTCTATAACATAATTCCAGCTTCTAGCATGTGAGGAAAGTGAAACCAAACAAGTTTGCTTTTGGTTTTGGTCTGTTCTGCTACAAATGTTTGGATACCTCTCATTGCAAGTTTGCTGTGAACTACGAAAGTTAAATTCATTTCGAGGAAAGGATCACTTCCATTACTGATTATGATATATGAACAGTGACATATATGTTTAAATCCTGATGCATAATGGACAACAGAACCTATTTATTTAAATAGAAAGTATAGCCTAGGTGTAGGAATTAAATTTATGGCTATACTTATTAGAAATGGCTAAAAAAAAAAAAGACATAAGATTCTGGGGGGGGAAAACCACATTTCTGTTAAAATAGGCTATTTTTTAGGAGTGGTTTTCTGTTCAGTGATCTTTTCACAGGATCATGTCTAAATATGTTTTTTGAACTTCTCACTTCAATAAAGTCAAAGTTGTGGCATAGACCTATGGGGCTGAATAGGTGAAAGGTTTGCTGTATGTTTACACTGCAATCCTAACAGTATATTCATTTAATGTCAGAAACCTAACAGTATATTCTTTTAAAGTCAGAGATTATATTAAATACTTTATGGCATTTGATTGATCAAAGGAAAATGTATTGGTAGGTTTGAACATTTTTTAAAAACACTCTCTTCATGGGAACTTCCAAAGTCTGCAGTTTTCATTTGAGGCTGGAAAGAAAAGGAAAAAAAAAAAAAGATATAACATTTCCCATAAAAAGAAATCTATTTTTTTCCTATTTTCCATAATATTGCCAATGAAATTTTCACTAGAAATTAAACCTGACTCTCCAGTCAGTAATTAATATCTAGTCACATTGCCTTCAGATTCAGATCACATACTCTAACTGAAACCGGCTATTTCTTTAACTGCAAGATCTAGGAATATTTTTCTTTTTATGATGATTATCTTTTATAATAAGTGATATCCTGGATGTTTAAGATAAGACCATATCTTTCACTGCTGTGATAACGTATCTGTAAATACACTGGGAAAAACACGCTTCGTTATACCTATAGCACTTGGTGAATTGCTTTGTTGTAGGGGCAGGCAACTCAGGAGGACTACAAGGATGTCATGAGGTTATGCAGGGAGCAAATTAGAATGGCCAAAGCCCAACTAAAACTTCAGCTGGCTACTGCCGTAAAAGACAATTAAAAATATTTCTATAAAGACATTAGCAACAAAGAGGGCTAAAGAGAATCTCCATCCTTTACTGGATGTGGGGGGAAACATAGTGAGAAAGGATGAGGAAAAGGCTGAGGTACTTAATGCCTTCTTTGCCTCAGTCTTTACTAGTAAGACCAGTTGTCCTCCGGGTACCCAGCCCCCTGAGCTGGAAGGCAGGGATGGGGAGCAGAATTAAGCCCACATAATCCAAGGGGAATTCGTTAGTGACCTGCTACACCACTTAGACACACACAAGTCTATGGGGCCAGATGGGATCCATGCAAGGGTACTGAGGGAGCTGGTGGAAGTGCTCACCAAGCCACTTTCAATCCTTTATCACCAGTCCTGGCTAACCGGGGAGGTCCCCATTGACTGGAGGTTAGCAAATGTGACGTCCATCTACAAGAAGGGCTGGAAGGAGGATCCAGGAAACTACAGGCTTATCAGTCTGACCTCGGTGCCGGGGAAGGTTAGGAAGCAGATCATGTACAGGACAACCAGATAAGCAGGCCCAGTCAACATGGGTTTATGAAAGGCAGGTCCTGCCTGACTAACTTGATCTCCTTCTATGCAAGGTGACAAGGTGACCCGCTTAGTGGATGAGGAAAAGGGTGTGGATGTGGTCTACCTAGACTTCAGTAAAGCCTTTGACACTGTTTCCCACAGCATTCTCCTGGAGAAACTGGCTGCTCATGGCTTGGATGGGCATACTTTTCGCTGGGTTAAAAACCGGCTGGATGGCCGGGCCCAAAGAGCCGTGGTGAATGGAGTTAACTCCAGTTGGCAGCCAGTCACAAGTGGTGTTCTCCAGACTCAGTATTGGGGCCAGTCCTGTTTAACATCTTTATCAATGATCTGGACAAGGGGATTGAGTGCACCCTCAGTAAGTTTGCAGACGACACCAAGTTGGGCGGGAGTGTTGATCTGCTCGAGGGTAGGAAGGCTCTGCAGAGGGACCTGGACAGGCTGGATCGATGGGCCCAGGCCAA